GTGCTCAAAGCAACCAAAACTTGCAGGCTACGTCTGAGAAAGCAACAAATTTTTACATTTCTTCAGTATACAAGTCATATCATCAGGCGCCTTTCAGTTTTGGAAGCTGAACGCTACAGAGTTACTAGCGAAGTGTAGAAATAATAATGAAGGCAATGCAATGCATGTCAAAATGTGAATAACTGATATGGTAAAATTGATGGTCATTATCAGGCGTCTTGTAATATTTTATATGCAATCATAACTTTCTGGTAGTCATTTTTGATTTTCTTAGATTAAGGGGGTTATAATAACATCCTAAGTTTCATTCAAACTCGATTATACAAAAATGAACGACAGCTACATAACTTAAGAGCGTAATGAATGCTTTCAACTGACATCCGACTTCTAGAACAACAGCGCATGCCCTAGCGAAAAGACCACTTTATGAAACATTAATCATATTTGGCAGTCAAGTAGCAGAAAATGATCGGATTTGTGCTTCTTCAAAGGAAGATATGTAATTTCAGTCAGTTGAATAAATCTATCTGAAACATTCAGCAGAAATCGGCACTAACGCATGAACTATTCATCGCCTAGCATTCATAATAAAGGCACTATGGAAAAGATCATATGCAGGTTAACCATCTGATAATTCCACTAAGAATAAATAATTTCTTAAGCTCGTATGGTTAGACAGAATGAAACGGCCGTTTTCTGACGATAACCGATTCGAATTTGGTCGAAACTCTAGATTACATGTACATAAAAGTTTGTCTGGTTTTTTATGCGGCCAACTGTGGAATCAGAAGACGTATATGTGTCAGTTCTACCTATGCATTTGGGAACTCATGAACTTTGATAAAATAATTTCAATGAGGCGCTGGCTGTGGTAAAGCCAGAGGGACGAGATCTGAGCAGAACTTCAACATCGATACATACTAATACCTTATGTGGATCCATATTTATGACACAACTTGATCACTCATGACGATTTTGATGGGTTCGTATCTCTTTTCTCTAGAAAGAGGTTATAGCATAACTTGAAAATTCAGGGAAGTAACGTATGCTGTATTATTATCGGAAGCTCGCATTATTTCCATCTGTGCGAACCACAGAGAACCTTGCAAATCATTTGTGACCTGGAAACGGGAGGAAATAAGTTCTCAGTTAAATTTATA